GTGATAATCATGAACTATGATTCTGAACATCAGACATTGTCCATGTGGCACAGTGGTTGGTGTGTTCATTCAGCTCAGCTAGATTTGGGTTTGATTCTTACACAAAGAGGTGTAGACTAATTGGGGATTGTCTACCATAATATAACTGCTAAATTTCTATCATAATGAGCGTGCACAACTTTTTAGGCCTGATCCAGTGGTGACAGGCACTGTTCCACAAAGCGAACTTTGTTAATTCATCTTAACTCCCATACTTTAAAATAAATTCACTAAGATCTAAGATTGCTTTAGGAAATCCTTAAAGGGAAGACTACTGTTAAAAGTATTTGACAGTCATCTGTCTCTACTTTGTGGAAAGTAGCAAAGGTCTAAGAAATGCACTTTGGCTCTTCCTCCTTCATAAAACAGACCCCTATGGTATATAAGAAATAATATTAAACTCGGCATACTCATTCCATGGAAGAAGGTCTAAATCTTTGTTAAAGAAGAACAAATTTAGATAGGTATTTGATGTGGCAATAATGGTTCCCTAGAAGTAATGGCTGCCTGTTAAGTCATCTGTACAGTTTATTTATACCTTATTTATGCTTGGTTGTTTATACGGTGGTGTAACTACCACACTCCTTGGGTTCCTATTGTTGGTGATTACTGTCCACAGTTGTACAGAACTGTTATACCCCTTGTATATGACATTTGTATGAGGCCCATGCTATGTATCTGCTGTGTATATCAGATGGTTGTCATGACAACAATAAAAGGATGTACTTATTGTTGTGGACTTGTCTGTTTGTTTTACCTGTCTGATAATTTACTCTGGATCCAGGGAGATTCCTGATATATATGCCATGCTTGGTCGGGTACGTATCCATGAAAATCCTGGTTAGAATTGTTCTTCAGCAACCCATGGTTGTGGTAAGAGGACTAACTGGATTGGAGGGTCAAGACTCACTCGCTCGCTCACTCACTCACTCACTCACTCACTTGTGCCCAGAGTATTGACTGGTTGGCGTGATATGTCTGAAATACCGCTGTGTGCTCTGTTAAAGAACATTCCCTATTTTTGAACTAAGAGGTATTGATTCGGGGTCAGAACCAGATCCCAGTATCCTATGCTGGTCCTAAGAGGAATCAGAATAGGTTAGGTAGTTCGACCACATCTTTGCTGGTGGTGTGGATCGTTTCTCATGAATAGCAATCACTGGATTGTCTGGCCCAGATTATTATTGACAGACCACCATGTAGCTGGAATTATCCTGAACAGTTATTATATTATAACATCCTGCTTCAACGTAATACACGAGGAGTGACTCAAGTGATGCCATTTTCTTCCATTGACATTTTGTTGGAACAGGAGCAGGAACCGAATCATGGGTCCTGAAAGTAATCAACACAGCATTTGTTTCGCAACTGGGTTCTGTATTGTTAAAAGAATTGTTGTATTTTGTCTATTGTGAATACTTATATGGTATTAAGGTCGTTTTGTGTACTAATATTACATGATGATGCGATTTAAGAATTATCTGTGGAATTAGCTTATTACTATCTGGCCGAGTAAGTCTAGTAAACTATTGACTAGTACAATATCCAGTTCATTAGAAAAGCTAGTTAATGTAAAGTATTGTTTGGGGGCAGTAAAGATCACCCAGATTACCTTTCATTGTCCTTGAACCCACTAATGGGGATTTGGTGACCCTAATGTTCAATTGTGTTCCACCCTTGTATATTGTTCACGGTACAGACCAGACTGGTTTCCGAGGTATGCTGCGCAGCGTACCCAGTATGCGTACAGTAGTCACTTCTCAATACTACACACTCCACTCCTAATCCCAACTCCCAGGTTCCACCGTGGACCCGGGGGCTGCGGTCCTTGGACCCCGGCATCTCAAGCTTTTTTCTCTCTTGGGGTTGAAAGCTCGGCAAAAAGACGATGGAAGATGGTGCTTCTTGTTACCCTGCCTGGCGCTCGGCCTTGCGGTGATATAGCCAGGAATGGTCAGATCGGAGCGAGTATAACGTCCAAGTGGGGCATCCACGTTAAATTAGCATGCAGATAAGACCATAACACTGACGAAAGTCTGATTAATACGAGCAGGCACACACTGAAGCTATATAAATGCAATAATCTTGAAGACGACTTTACACTCCAGTTCGCCTAAACTCGTGTATTGATTGAGCAGGACATTTGAATTCCAAGAGAGGAAGCTCTGAATACATTCTGGTACACAGTGATGAGCGTATTCTGTGGAGTGGATACTCACGTGACAGTACAGTTTGGTTGTGTAACGCCACAGTCATCAATATTCCAGCTGTATGACGGCGGTCTGTAAATAATCGAGTCTGGGCCAGACAATCCAGTGATCAAAAGCAGCAAATGGAATACGATGACATGTGTCAACCAAGTCAGCGGGCGTGACCACCCGATCGCGTTCGTCGCCTCTAACGACAAGCCTGGGTTACTGAAGACTGGTTGGTTGGTTGTTTAACGCAGCACTCGGCAATATTCCAGCAATATGACGGCGGTCTGTAAATAATCGAGTCTGAACCAGGCAATCCAGTGATCAACAGCATGAGCCTCGATCTACGCAATTGGAATACGATGACATGTGTCAGCCAAGTCAGTGGGCGTGACCACCCGATCCTGTTAGTCGCCTTTTACGACAAGCATGGGTTACTGAAGACAAATTCTAACCCGAATCGCCATCTATACAAGCAATGTATACCTTAGACAGGAAGACGAAATGGGAACTAATGGTGACACTCACTGTTTAATTTTATCCAGCGAAACGTATCCATGTTAACTATATTAATAGTTTTATTCGCCATCGATTAATAGCCATCCGGCCGCAGTTGCGATACATCGATAAGGCGATAAATCGTTACACCCCTACTGAACATCGATGATGCGTCTGCAGTAGCCATTCTTGATCGTATCTGAAGTTTATAACGTTGACGAGAACTCTTTCTCAGTTTCTTAAGCATGTTTCATAAACCTGATGAGGAAGGAACACTTTACCATTTTCCCACCAAGAATACGAACAGACGTCTGGTTTGCTTGTTTGTTGTTTTAACGCCGCACTCAGCAATATTCCAGTGATCAAGAGCAAGAGCAGCTACAGCCTTATGTGTCCACATTTCTCAACATGTGAGGTACAATCAAACAGTAAGTGAGTTTAGTTTTACGCCGCACTCAGCAATATTCCAACTATATGGCGGCGTTCTGTAAATAATAGAGTGTGGACCAGACAATCCAGTGATCAACAGCATGAGCCTCGATCTACGCAATTGGGATACGATGACATATGTCAGCCAAGTCAGCAAGCCTGACCACCTAATCCCGTTAGTTGCCTCTCTACGACAAGCATGGGTTACTGAAGACCAACTCTAAATCTGACACACATCTGGACATTGAGTTCGGCGGAACACATTTGTCTTCATTTTATGGATAGAATTCTGTTTCCTGACGCTGGAAATATGTAAAATATTTTGTTTATTAGCAATACAAAAACAAAGAATGACGCACAAGACCTAAGAGTTAGATATATCGATGACTGGGTAAAACTACAAAAATCATAAAGTGCAACTATCCTTATTCTATGTGACAGTATCCGCGCTATCTATACACATTTACACTGTACTTATATACACTTGTACTTTATGTATATCCTTAAACTTATAAACCTGATTGCTTGATTGATTGTTATTTAACGCCGCACTCAGCCATATACCAACAAATTGAGTCTGGACCAGACAATCCGGTGTTCAAAAGCTTGAGCATCGATCAACGAAATTGGGATACGATGAAATGTGTCAACCAAGTCAGTGAGTCTGACTACCCGATCCCGTTAGTCGCTTCTTGCGACAAGCATGGGTTACTGAAGATCAATATTCTAACCCGGATCTTCACGGGTCACTCATAAACTGAAGATTTAGGAGAGCTTTTTATACAGTTCCGCCGGACCTTGAATTCGATTGTCGGGGGTATAGATGTCATAATAATTTACAGGGTTTGAGATCATTAAAATTATTATTGAGTGAGACAATGTAGTTGTTTTCAGACAAAGAAAATAGTCACACGTGAGTGACAGCTATAAACAATCGATGAGCTTATAATCACCTCGTTACACAACATTGTGTGGGTTAGTCAGTTCCTGGTTTGGGGATTTGCCGGGAGCAATTATCACACTAGTCACGTTTACAGTTCGTGTAGCACATCTATACTCAGTGGTTAACAGACAATAGATATACTTTTCAATCATAAATAAATAAATAAATAAATAAATGAAATGAAACCCCAATGAATGAATGAATGAATGAATGAAATGAATGAATCTTTCACAGTGGGCGTAAAAAACACCGAACCTTTTGCATCTTTCACATAAACAACTGCTGATTTATCTGTTTGTATTCTATCTGAAATAGTTTATTATGAAGCACACCACAAAATGGGGCATATATCACATAGAACATGAAAATTCATACAGGTTTTTTAGAAAGGGATGAGGGGTGGGTGATGCCCCTACTCTGGATGCGCCTATGAAACTTGAATTAAAATTATCTCAACATTTCACAAATGCACTGTCTTCAAATTCACAAACTAAGTTCGAATCAATAATTATATACGCTAATATCTTATTTTATTTTTAAACTTTCGTGTTCATTTTTAATGTACAATTTAGAATACAAACGTTCAATTCAACTCATCTTTTATTATTAACTGTTTTCTGGTTACGAGCCTTTCAGTGGTTGGGTACAAGTCATGCACCTTCAGAACTTGGGGGTGAATCTCCTTGGTTACGAATTGTCCAGTGAACAATACAATAAAACATTAGTTGTATCAGGGAGACTATAAAACGTGTTGTAGATTATCCCTGGTTGTATGAGATATAATGAGATTTAAGATCAGTGTTACATCATAATTGAGCGACAATTGTGTCATGTGACGAATATGCAAATCAGGGGAAGGTGCCCGCTTCACATCGAGGCTCGCAATGGGCTATATTTTTACGTTCACCTCAAGCAGCACGGGCTACTTCTACCAGTCAACACCAGGTGGCGCTCGGAAACTGCGGGAATTTCAACATGGCGACAAAGGGTATCTCTGTGAATTCTCTTGAAAATGGAATAAGACCAAGCAAACAGTTTAAAGATGGAGCAACGGTAAACCTCATTTATACTTTTACAAAATGTCCACACAAATAAGAAAGATCTACTTCATGTTTTCTATGATATGGCCATAGTGTTTTTGTGTCCAATCGGCACAAACTGAAACAGAAGTCAATGAGAAGGGGTCGTTGTCGGCACAGGTATACTACAGATCATAGGGTACGTTTCTGTATACAGACATGTACCCGTAACAAAGTCAAACTACAGAAACGACGGACGAATCCATATTCTGCAACCCATTACCGAAACCGTACTGAGCCAGTATGTCTAGTTGTGCACCGCGAAATATTCGTTACTGTGTATGCTCATATATAACGCAATCAAATGCATCTATACAACAGTATGACAGTTTCGATCAAGAAAACGGCACAATGCACAATGGAATCGTCCTAGGGTACATTTCTGTATTCTGATTTTGTTTAGGGTACATGTCTGTATACAGAAACGTACCTGGGGTCATATCTGTAGTAGCATACCTTCAGGCTAAAACGTCACCACAGCCAAAACAGACTCATTGGCGTGATCTTAACAATAAGTGAATACAGTCTGAAGCCTGTCTAAGATTTTGCCATATTTTATACCAGGTAGGTTTCTGCACATAAATACCCAAAGTCAAAAAGTCGACAACGACCCCTTCAGCCCTAGTATAGGTTAACATTAACCAATACTGTATTGGAATCTCTTTTCAGGAGAAGACCCAGCGAAAAACATTACAGACCTTGCAGTTGTCGGCAATTGGCGAAAAAAATATCAGCGGAAAAGGAATTAACAGAACCGATGTATGTAGTAACATGAGTCGTATTTATAAACATGAAAACAAACTGAGAAAGAAATGTGTACATTTAGACTTACTGTTGGTATAATTGGATCAACATTTGAAAATTGTACTTTGTGTATGTTAGTTACTTCCTTGTAAAGGGACATTGTATCAGATCCATGAAGACGATGTACTGATGATTAGACTGCAGATACATTATCCTAAAATATTTCACAACAGGTTTCATATTACAATTGAGGTGACATGTTGTTGGATGCCAGTATATTGTAAATCTCTTGCACATAGCTCATTTTTAGATGTAAAACTGTATGTTAACCTTTTCATCAAACTGTTTATGACTAGAAATGATCATGATTGTTCTGCCACAATATCTTGTGCTGCCTAGTTCATGTTAGTAAAGACTGTCTTCATAGTTTATTTTTCACATTTATTTTCACATTCAGAATGGCAAAAACAAAAAGAAGATCAAGCCATCGAATGAAAGAGTGAAGGTATTTGAAGATGAAAACCCACCACTGATCTCCGCACCTTTGATAACTCAAGCAACACAGACAGAAACCGATGAAGATCACACCAACAATAGAGATGGACTTGATGACCTTGCAGAGGCTGACAGAGAAGCTTTGGAGCTCATGAGTGGAGGTAAAGTTGGAGTACAAACAAATGTCGCAGTTTGCTTCTGTTTGCACATGTTTAGATCTTCTGGCTTATTTAATGTTATATGATATTTTTGCTTGTGCAGTGTTTAATACAGACTGATATTCAGTAACTTAAGCTTTTGGCATAACATCTGTTGTAGTGTTCTAAGACTCTAGAGGTCCTGATACCATTGGGGCGATGGGGTTGTAGAGTGGTTACACTGTCCACTGGTCACATGGAAGGCCCAGGTTCAATTCCCCACATGGGCATACTGTCTGAAGCCCATTCCTGGTGTTCCCTGCCATGTTGATGGACTATTGCGAAAAGCTGTGTAAAACTCAATCCCTCATTCGCTCAAGCTCAAAGCATTTAAGGGTCTCCAGATTCTACTTGAGATAATAGGTGCAAACCCAATGGATTTCAAGTGTCCCAGAACCGTCCTTAAAGTAGAGAAACTATAAGTGTTTGGGGGCTTCACTCTTTGGTTGATGCCAGAGTTGGAAGAAGCAATAGTATGATGCTTTAGTTTAAGAGTGAGGCTTCTATGATATTGATAACTATTGAATTTGACAACTGTTTCAAGTCCGAGGAAACCGATATCACACAGTAGTATGTGTCTATGATGAAAACGCAGGGGTCCAGAACAGCTGCACATGTGAGCTGTCATCTCTACTGATATTGCATGTGGCATTGTTCAGTGGAGCAGAATCTGCAAACTCTGAGACACAACTTAATATCTGTTCAGTTGAAACAAGCTGTTATGGTTTTGGGCAGGGTTAATCAGGCCTCCATTTTAACAAGTTCATGTCCTTGTTCAAACCCTGAGGGAAGTGAAATCATTTTGGCCAGTGGTACAGTCATCTGATAAGACCATATGTCAACTCCACATTTCTTAACACTGGTAGCCACTATAGTTTGGCATGAAATGCATGTGAACCCGTTTTTTTGTAAATATCTCTTCATCCAATGACCCAATCGATCTCAAACTGTGCAAGTGGATGTTTTGTCAGACAACCTAATCGCATTGTAAATCACCGATTTAATGCATTTGTATTAAAGAATCTGTCTATGTAACTGTCAACAAAATAAACAGCAGAACGCAGAATGCTTGCAGAGGGAGGGAGCCAATGACCTGTAACAGCGGCAGTGTTGGGTCATAAAGGTCAACGTTCGTCAATGTAGGTCAGCTATGCACGTGACAGGTATGAAGAGGTGTCAGGTCGTGAATAGGGTAGGGTGGGTGCCAACTGTTAACCATCATACGGAGTTTGTTTCTCTGAGTTGTTCAACATTAACCACAAAACCCATTAGTGAGAATTATTCTGTAGGTTAAAATCTTTAAATTTTGCAAATAGCGGCTGAATGACATCTCTGATGACCCTGATGTCAAAAGAATCTAACTTTGGATGCCTACCTTTTGTACAAGGTTTTGTTTATTGGTTGTTGGTTTATTTTTCACAATTTTTAGCACGATGTTCTTTTTTCATGCCAAGAGCAAAGTTATGCGCTTCATGTAATCCGACACCTTATAAATCGGTTTGCTACGTTTGCTCTCTTTAAAAAAAAAATTCAACACATTTCTAATTAAACGTTTAGCATCATCTGAATAAGCTTTCATGATGACAGCTAGAAGTAGTCAATGTGAATGATCCAAACGGTCTATCACTGTGCAGTGCACAGGTAACTATCATGAACTGCACGTGCATTGACCTTTATGACCCAACACTGCCGCTGTTACAGGTCATTGGCTCCCTCCCTCTGCAAGAATTCTGCGTTCTGCTGTTTATTTTGTTGACAGTTACATAGACAGATTCTTTAATACAAATGCATAAAATCGGAGATTTACAATGTGATTAGGTTGTCTGACAAAACATCCACTTGCACAGTTTGAGATTGATTGGGTCATTGGATGAAGAGATATTTACAAAAAACCGGGTTCACATGCATTTCATGCCAAACTATAGGTCAGTGTTATTTAGCCCCAAGCAATTAAGGGAATTAACACTGTCTTGCTTTCTGACAGCACTTTTAGATTTACATGTTAAATCAGACATTAGAAGTATACCGCCGTAAGTAGTGGAATCTGCTGGTGCGATGTTTTCATTGCCAAGAGTGTAGTTTACAGTTTTAACTTTACGTTTACTTTTATTAAAAATGATTACTGTGCTTTTTGCAGGATTGTATGTTAAACACCATTTATTGGCATATGTATGTACAGTATCGAGAGCAATTTGAAGTCCCTTTGGTGAAGTACTAACAAGTGTTGTGTCGTCAGCAAGCAATATAGTCGGAACATTCACACCATACACACTTAGGCCATTACTAGCCTGTCTCAGAAGAAATTATATCATTGATAAACACTAGGAAGAACCAGGACGACATGACACTGCCTTGGCCAACACTTTGCTTAATAGGATACCTGTCAGAGTTTTCACCCTTATATCTTACAACAGCATAACTATTTGTATAGCTGTAGTGCAGTAGTTTCCAGATGTTTCCCTGGATGCCCAATTGATGTAACTTGTGAAAATAGACCATCGTGCCATATTCTGTCAAATGCTTTTTCGTTATCTAAAAAGGCAGCATATACTGTAGAGTTTCTCTCAATGTAATATCTGATACTTTCAATAAGAGCAAAAACGCTCATAACTGCGCCATGTTCCTTTCTAAATCCAAATTGGAGTATATCACGGAAATAATGATTATTTTCAAGTAATTTAGTTTCTATTCGTTTAAGTAGTAGCTTCTCAAAATGTTTTCCAAGGCATGACGTTAGAGTAATTCCCCTATAGTTTCGGGGATCGGATTTTTCCTTTTTACCTTTATAGATTGGAATGACCATACCAAGTCTATAGTTAAAAGGCACATGGCAAAATCTAATTGTTAAACAGGTCTATGTGTCTATGATGAAAACGCAGGGGTCCAGAACAGCTGCACATGTGAGCTGTCATCTCTACTGATATTGCATGTGGCATTGTTCAGTGGAGCAGAATCTGCAAACTCTGAGACACAACTTAATGTGTGTTCAGTTGAAACAAGCTGTTATGGTTTTGGGCAGGGTTAATCAGGCCTCCATTTTAACAAGTTCATGTCCTTGTTCAAACCCTGAGTGAAGTAAAATATTTTGGCCAGTGGTACCGTCATCTGATAAGACCATATATCAACTCCACAATTGACTGAAAATGAATGTTTTCTCGAGGCGTGATATTTGTCAGGCTTTGATATACTATAGATACAAGATACTACAAATGAGTTTCATTACAATCAGGCCTTTCACTCTCAAACTCCTGACATGAGGAGACATCCACAGACATGTTCCATGGACTGTCCTTTTATCTTCATGCAGGATGGTAATATATTGGCTTGAAGATCTACTTTGTATCACACTGACAAATAATTTGGTGAATATTTTGCTGCAGTTTGACAAAATAATTATGATGTTTGTAAACTAAACACTTGTGCAGACAAATTACAGATCTGTTTGCATTCAGCATGAGCTTATACCTGTTAATAGTGGTATATTTTTAGCATTTGTTCAAGAAGGCGATATTTGCTTGTGAAAGCTGGCTTTTTAGTTTCAATTTGGATTATTTACGCAATGTCATGTTTTTTCAGAGAATGTCCCAGAGAATTACTGGAGACTCTTGGCAGAAGAAAGAAGAAATGCTTTGAATGATACTCTTGAGGAAAATGAACAGGTAAGCTTAGTACAGGTGCTCCTGGTGTCCCCCGCTGTGATATTGCTGGAATATTGCTAAAAGCAGTAAAAACTAAATTCACTCACTCACTAGTACAGGTGCTACATTACAAACTATTTGACAGAAATCAAAACCATTGGAAACTACTGTGTATCAGCAAAGCAAGAACGAGATGTTCCATGAAGTTCACACATCACAAGGGTGTTTCCCATCAATCTTAACCTTTCAGTCTTTCAGTGAGCATTTGTTATGTGCTTGCAATCATTGTAATTGTTTGAGACTGCACAGTTACACTACTTTGCAGTACTTTTTCTCACAAGATTACTTTTGTTTAGCTTCACAAGGAAGTGGACAGCTTGAGAGACGAAAATGAAAAACTGTCTGACTTGGCCAGCAAAGCAGAGTACCTCTCAAGTGTTTTGCAAGTATGTTCTATGAATGAATTGCATTTGTTGACATAGTTTGAACTGGTGTAGTATGTAATATTATACCTGATAAGTTACAATCATGCTTTTGTGTTTTTAGGTCATGTGATCCTTAATTACAATAGTGCACATACCTACAGAAGACAAGTCTTGCTTAGTATCACCACTACACCTTGCTACAAACCTTCAACAATATGCAATACAATCTAATTGAGCCAGTTTATCAAGACATTATGCAAATGAAATATTTAAAAAATACTTGGTATAGTACATCAGAAAAATTCTTTTAGTTGACTGTGTACTGTTTATCATTGTTAATGTGTAACAATTTTATCGTATTCATTATGAAAACCCCCCACAAAATACGCGACTACAATGGCAGTAAAAATATACGAATTTTTAAAAATAATACATTAAATTAAATTATCAAAATGATATTTTGAAATTTGTACTGTTTCAAAATTTAGCGGTAGTTAAACACAATTAGATCTACAGAATCTGCAAACCGCTCTGTTTAGCCCAACATATTTTTTTCTAAATGTATAATATCGTTGAAAAGTTATTTAGCTTAGTCATGATCCCTCTTATCCATTACACTGCTTGATCTAAAGTAGTCTATTAAAGTATAATTAATTACCTTACCGTGTTTATGCCAGAGGTACACCCTCGTGTCCTGATCCATCCTTTTCGAAATATCACCACAAATCTGGCTCTTTGTCAACAGACTACGCTGAACATGCCAGCCAATCCGATTCAATTTGAATTCACTACACTTTGAAGCCACTAGGTCACAAAACACTTTCCAAAATGTAGAAAATAATATCCGTAGAATCGAATTTGAGCACAAAGTACACACATGAGTGTGTAGAGTCACCACAGCTGTATGCGATGAGACGTGAGGTGCGTGAAATCGTCCAAGTTGACAGAGCAAAAAATTCAACAGCATCTAAATTCGGTTACAACCACGGACTTCTCGTTACAGCAAAAGCCCTACTCTTAAATTTTGTACCAGTACCAGTAATTAGATATCAAAGACTATCTCAGTCATACAATCAGGTTAACCTTATGCCAAACTGTCAGTGGCTCTCCTGTCGATCTTTCCAAATGTAAACAATGACTTCGAGAAAAGGTCAAGGCCATGAGGTTGCTGCCACTATTCTGGTGGGGAAAGGGTCTCGGTTGGAATTTTCAAATGTGAACCAAGCTTTGAAACTTATTTGATATATGTTTTCCAACTTATCAGTTAATGATTGGTGATTGATGCATTGAAAAGCAAAACGTTTATTTGTTATTACTGAATCTGAGTTTGTTAGTCATTGACGGTTTGCCACCAAACACCCCGTTTGAGGCTTATATACCACTTGAGATTGGAATGCGAGGGCCGCTTCCGCGTGATTGACTCCTCGTAACCAAAGAAAGAGCTCCACCTATACCTCTGATTCTTCTAAATAGCATCCAACCATAATTACCATACATCATTGCCATACACAATAACTTTCAATCACATTTTATTCAGTTATGAGTATTAAGCTATATATATATATATATGGATACTTACTACTGATTTAGGTGAGTACAATGTTAATAACAAGGTCTTAGACAATATATTTACATATTTTATTTAATATGAAAATTCTTTGGAAAAGTTAATACTAATGTTTGCATCAGTTTTTGGCCAAAATACTATTTGGGCTAAATTAGGGTTGGCATCCCTGTGTAAGTATGAACCAGGTTACTGTTGGTGTTATCACTGGACATGCTGAAGTCCTGGGTTTGATTCACCACATGGATACCATGCATGAAGTCTATTTCTGATGTCCCCCACTGAAATATGGCTGGAATATTGCTAAAACTAACTCCCCTCAAACTTCTCTCCATTAACTGTGATGAAAATAAGTCATGATCTTTAGGAATTTTAACCTAAGCGTACATTTTCAGTATTTATCTACCATGTTGTCAAGATGTATGGTGATGAAGTTGATCATCACAGCCTAATATCATGGGCTATTGAAATTATACATCCTTTTGTCTGTTGCAGAGTGTGATATCTGACGAAGAGGATAATGACAGTGTAGATGACGAAGACTACAAGACAGGTGACGAACAACTTCTTGATGACGACACCAACTCCAACACAGTGGAAGTCTGTGACAGTGACAGCGACAGTAGTGTATACTCTGCTGCAGCTTCAAACTTTAAAACTACCAGCACTGCTGAAACAAACATAATAGACTCGGAGTCCAGTGATGAAGAGTCTCAATCAAATGACAGTGCAACATCTGAAAATTCTATCAGGAAAAGGGTTAAGGAGAGCACACAAAGACTCAAGGTTGTTTGTCAACAGTCACAGAGATTTAGTGGTGAATGGGTTAATGTGGAATTGGACGAGGAGAAAGTTGCCTCTACAGAAATTATCAAGGGAGATGTACTTGCTAAACTTAAAGAGGATAAGAAGAGTTAGACATGTTGCTTCATGACCTGATCCATCATGATTATACAGGATTGATCTGTCTGCTTGTATTTGCCTGTCCAAGAAAACTTATACTATACTGTTTCTATTATTCTTTCTGTTAGATTGATGTTCACATGAATAATTAAAAATCATGATACTTTTTGTGCTGTAATTTCAGTTTATTTGACAGATATTCATGTCATGCCCTTTTTCATTTTCTCATATTTGAAGCTGTTTTAAAGTGCTAAGTAAATTGTGAAATATGTCCAGTCATTGATGATGACTATATGGACACATGTACACTGAACTATTTTATTGCGTTTTATTAGATTTTAATTGAAATGATGGCAGGTGTTTGTGCATAGTATTGTTTTATTATGTTCGTTGTAGAGTTATCATCTTGGCATCACTGATGCATATTCTCTGGGCCCTGGATTTTAATAGTTACACAATAAGTAAAAACTGACGTAACTCTCATTTTCAGTTTTGTGTTACTTAGGACATGATTGGCCACATTTAAAATGCCACTATTTGCAGCGATAGTTTGTCAGAAGCCTACTTTCATGGGTCTTAATCCCAGAATCATCAGGGTATTTCTTTCTATGTCAGCACGATAACCATGCTCACGGATTCCCCAAAGTGATAAACCTCCAAGACCTGCATCACTTTGGTTTTCCTCACAGGTTAGGCTGACATACAGAGAAATATCTGAAATACTGCTCAAAGAAGCCTAAAAGAGAACATTCTCTTATGTCTTTCTTCCCTTGTATACTGCCTCTCCATATCATGTAGATGTGCCTTTTGGGGATTTGAACTTTTCTTTCAATTTTATTTTATTTGCTTTTCATACTTGGAGATTTTGAAATTGAAGGAATCAAATGATTTTTTTAGGTCTGTACGTTGAATTGGTGGAAGGGGGAGACATCTGTTTTCACAAGTAAAATCACTTTCTAGAATTTTTTTATGCTTCAGGTTTATAAAACATATGAAAGCTTAAACTTAAACTGCATATTTTCTTATATATTTTTTTCTTAAAGATACCATTTCCTTGTTAAGATCCAGGGCCAAGTCTGTGGTCAGAATGTTCTGTATGAGACTAGAATGTATTGCCATGTTCATAATCATTGACATGCTCTTTTAATGTGTTGTATCATACAAGATCAGGTGTATAAGTGAATAAATGTGCAAATGTACTAGACCTGTATCAAATCGTTTCTATCGTTTATGGCAAGGTGTCATTACTCATGTCCTTTAATTGCATTATGAAAACCATCTTGCAATAGGATAAAACCAGAACTTAATGTTCAGCACCATTCATATTTTACAGCTTAATTTCTTCGTCACTTTTATATCGGCAAATAAGAGGACACCACTCTTATTTCCATTTCTCAGGCATGCACAATTACATTCTGCCAGCAGTACTTTCTTTTGGATATATCTTTTGAAAGCCACTTCTACTTATTATACATCTGAACACTTAAGAGGTTGCTGCAATGGATGAACAGAACTTTCATTAGGCTCAGGCTCCGATACTCAGCATAAGAGGTACAAATATGCCATCAGGAGTACTTTTACTACAGAGGATGGCCAGGGCTCCAGATAATTTTTCAACATCAGGAGTATGTACGCCTTATATTTTCAATACAGCAGTACTGGAAAACGTTAAGAGTACATTTAGAATTTAATGGAGTACCAGTAATCTTGTGTTTCGTTTCATATGTGCTCGACAACATTGCTACTCTTGTTTAAACAGGTCAGTGAACAATAAAACAATACATTTTCAGATAAATACGTCTGTAAATGATTCTAAGACCCTACACCATAGCTGTGGTGCGTATCTGCTACGTTTTCAAAATTATTTCCTACCGTATCGTGCGTATTTTATATCCGTATATACGCCGATACGGCCCTTAACTGAAGCCCTGATGCCGGGATTGTTTACATAGAAGATTGTACAGTTTTCATGATGGTATTACAGAATATACATTATTTGTTTTCAAAACATTTATTTGTTTACAGTTAAACAATTACATTTTAACACATTGGGATTTTTAACATAATGGTTTGAGATGTTTTCCGATGAAGTTTGAAGAAACGGCAGAGAAAAATGGAATGAAATTCATCGCAAACATCACGTATTGCAAGGGTTACACAATGCTTCAGGTGGAATTTTGTGCCACCAACCTATTTCTACAGATAAATGATGGCAGGAAGTTCTAAACGAGGAATTTAAGAGCCAAGGGGAAAGGGATACATTTCAAATATTTTTCAAGGACAATGAATACACAATGCCATTTAGAAAGTGGTCAATGTAACATGTTATAATTATGATTACACCTTTTCAGTAAAGTGCAGATTCTAGTACTTTTGTTGGGTTGAGTCCCATCCGGGATTTGAACCCACACCCACAGAGTCAGGCAAAGAGTAATTGCAAAAGTTTCATTTGGGGTTTCATATTTCAGTTTCTTCACAGGCAGGCAGTAAAAATGGGTATGTCCACCATCGGCATTGAGAACAGCAGTGCATCGACGACGCATAGAGCCTATCAAACGTGCAAGGAAGGCTTGTGGGATGTCACGCCAGATTCTCTCAAGTTCTGTTGCAAGGTCAAGGACGTTATCTGGCGAATGAGGAAGACGGCGTAGACGTCGATCCATCTCGTCCCAAACATGCTCTATCGGGGAGAGATCCGGTGAATTTGCAGGCCAACTCAGTAAGTCAACGTTGTGGTGTTGCAAGAAATCCATAGCAACCCTTGCCGTATGAGGGCGGGCATTGTCCTATTGGAAGGTTAACCCAGGGCCATGACGTTGCAGAAAAGGAATTGCCACAGGTCGAAGAATCCTATCCCTGTAGCCCACACCAGTTAAGTTGCCCTGAACAATCACCACAGGAGTTCTTTGGCGTGCTGTTATTCCACCCCAAATCATCACGGAAACACCACCAAAGCGAATCCTCTCCAAGACACAGGCCTGTGCATAACGTTCTCCCACGCATCTATAGGCACGTTGACGTCCATCACTATGGGAAATGTTAAACCTGGACTCATCTGTAAAAACAATATTTCTCCACCAAAACAAGGGTCTGCGGACATGATTTCGGCACCACATTCGGCGAGCTTGTCGATGACGTTGTGTCATGATAGGCCGTATGGCGGGACTTCGTGGTCTAATACGGTGATGACGTAAACGTTGTCGAACTGTGTTGGGGTGGATACGGCGAAGTCCTGGGATGGTTCGGGCAGTCATCACTGCAGTCTGAAACCTGTGGCGAAGATGGGTCACCCTTATCCATATGTCCTGTCTTGGCGTTGTTACACGTGGACGTCCAGAACGTGGCCGATCGATGACGTCATTTGTGTTCTGGTAGCGTCTCACCAGTGCAGAAATGGTGTTCCGGTGGCAGTGGCGGCATTAATGGGTACAACAAGGTCTGGTCGGCTCGGAGTCAGTATAATGTGTCTGAGTGGGGTATTCATGCTTCACTGCGGCATGGTATGTCAGTGGGCTAGCACTTTAAAACCAGCTTAAGTCTGGGCTAGTACAAACAGCCGCACATACACATGCACACGCATGCACGTCGTCATATGAGCGAAATATTCTCAAGCACGACGTAAAACCCAATTTCACCTCACCTCACCTCACCTCACCTCTACTCACTAGACAGTGGACTGTTCCATTATACCTGTAGGTGTTGCCCTAATTAACCTTCTAGTTCAGTGTCTGTCAAATGGGAGATAACCCACAAGAAGTATTTTGCCTAAAAAGTTAATATGAACAGATTCGCAGTAAAATACAGTCATCATTTCCCTTCCACCCAACCCTTTCTGTTGTGCACAAGCCCTCAATGAAGCAAGTTAGATTTCCCACAGGTTCTGAATCTTAAATCTCATAGGGTTTAGTTTTTCAATTTAAATGGAATTGTTTGTTTCTAACGCTCGCTCGCACGCACGTACGCACGCAAGCCCCCAACTCCAGCGGTTAGAAAATGCCTGTATTCCTTAAACGGATAACACGATGACCTAGCCAGCCAGCAAGACATGATGTTGCAATGAATACAAAATGCCATTGATGTTGCAGTGTCCTTCATTGAGGATGCTGCTGTTGTACGCGGTGATCCAGTTAGCCCCATTAATATACTATATCACGTTCTAATCGTGCGATTCAGAGGGCCATAGTCGGGATGTTGCTGTTAAAAGTATATTTTCATTAAAAGAAAATGTGAATATGGTTTCACTGTACCTACAAAATTAGAGATGGAAGAAACTCTGTAATTAACTTCAAAGATCCTTACAGGAACTATACTACTCGAAGTTTGATAAAGATACCCACGTTAAATGGTAGTATGTCAAACTGTGTGCATCTGTTAAAACAGCCAAAGATTGTGTTGCTTGAAGACCTGATGTGAACCCAAGCAAACGAATTAACTGAAGCGTTCGTAAAATATATCGACGCCATGTATTCTACCCCCAAAGGTTTACTTGCTGATTATGTTATACTCTCACATATCAAACGTATGTTGTTTCCGCTGTCATTGTATACAAATTATGCATGGGTAACCTGTGTATGTCACATTGAAGTCGAACCCTTCTAAAAACGAAATACTTCGTCGGAATTCGAACGGGAGACCGGGATCGGGAGGTTTTAGTTTCCCCATATGAGCACAATGTGTGGTGAAGCCTGTTTAGTCTCTTGGTTACTCCATGATGTTGCTAGAATATTGCCAAAAGCGGTGTAAGACAATGCTCGCGCAGTCGTGGGAATTCTCCATCTCCCCAGCAGCCTATTTTAGTTACAGAGGCGACACGATGGTATGAGTAAACAAGCTTGGTTGTCAATCACACATTGGCGGATCAGGGGTTGGGGGTGCAGGGGTGCGCGGACCCCACCTTGTCCAGAAAGTTTATATGACCATTGAAACTCGCGTGGAAATGAAGTGTGCACCTCTTTCTCAATAGTGTGTTTCTTTCTTTCTCTCCCCTTCTCCTTCTCAAAAGCTGTATCCGCCCCTGATCACAGGTTCTGGTTCGCCTCGTCCACACCCATCATATAACCAGAGACCATATAATATGGTCTCTGATATAACCAGCTAACTGAATATCGCTAACTGAACAAAAATAATTAAATTTAGTGCATTTAAAAAAAAAAGCTATAACATTGTCCACATAATGCTACTTGCTGGTATTAATTTGTTGTGGAAACGAACATTACATAATGTCTAGTCATGACATCAAAATGCGAAGATAATAGAATCAATTCCACGAAAATACTTGACCAGATGGCACGACATAAATTAATTTTCCAAGTGAAAATTCACATTTGAAATCAACCTGTTGTTCAAAAAGTTAACCCCGTGAACTGAGTGGCTCTCTTTTGAGCTTTTGAACTTCAGAGAGACACTTTCGTTTTATATATGATAAATAAATACATGATTGGCATTACCTTTACCTTCAAGTCTTTTCCTGCTAAAGTATTGGCGGTAGAACGTACTCTTCACTCAATGCCTCACATTCGTGTCAATGAATTAAACCTCGGCCATACTTGGGAGTAAGTATTTACCTATTGGTCTGCTTGTGTCGTAGAGGAATGCCTGTACAAATACCAAAGTAGTTACGAAAGATATTTACATACATTTTTTTAGAGATGGGAAATGATTTTTCACGTGTGGGTAATATGCGTTACTGAAAGACCCTTCAAAATTACGGGAAAATGAGAGTAACCCTTGCAGCTGGTACGCGCGCACTTTCTGTTCGTATTTCTAAAAATACGATAATAATACGTTAATTAGTTTAAATGTAAAAAGACCTGAAGCTAAATTGTGTTATCTCCACATTAATGCCATTTTACAGTACGTTGGTTGAATAACGTTTGATTTTAAAGTTGATTTAATGGAATTATTGTGCCGCCCCTGACTGAATCACTCGCATGGCCGCCACTTTATCGCGTTTGACAGCCTTGAAGGGATATTTTGCTGTCGATGCTTCCATATTCTCCATAATGAAATGTAAGGATGTTTACATGTGTAAATATTGCCAAAGGGCTTTGTTGCATAATTGATATTTCTTTCACAATGCAACAAGGAGATGAAAGACGTGAACATTGTAAAGCACTTGAGTAGGTTTAGACACATGATCGATAGCCAAAATAAGACGAATGGGTGTCTCCACGGTCCTAGGTTTTATCAAAAGCCAGTGCACATCTGATTTCCACGAAAACATGCTTAATGTATCGACAATCTTTATACTTTGTGCGTATAAATCATTTGTTGGCACCGATCTGTTATTTATAGAATGCCCGAGAAGGATGAGCTGGAATTTGCTTGTTTATTGTTCCCACGCCAAATACGAGGGGGAATTCCCAGTGACGTCACTCTGACGTCAGAGGGATTTTCTGCTGCATGAAAAGATGGCTGCTAAGGTTAGAAGGGCATGGTGACGGACTCACGTGTATTTGGTTACGGCGTAATCTGACGGTTATGTGAGTGGAATCATACGCTTGGCTACCTCGTCATTGTCCATGCTGGTCTCCTGCTTCACACAGTGGCGTAGATTTGTGCATGATAGGTATATGAACGCTCATACACAAAACATTTTCTACGCAGCAGACGGGTTAGCATAGAGCTTAGTGTAATGGACTGATCACGGGCACAAAGCCATTGATTTGGATACAACTGACTTGTATGTGACAGGTTCAAAGTACAGGCGGTAACGCTTCCGATTTTATTATTGTGGTGATTAAGCTATTGAACACCTCCCTCCAAGGTGCCCACGGCGTACGGCGGATCGAATTCTAATACACACGTTGGTATGAAACAAGGAGAGCGGCCCATTGCCAAGGTAGATATGGCGAGACGAGGAAGCGAGCCGTCCATGGACGGACAGCAGACAAGCTACATGCTGTTTAACAAGCAAAACTATGGCCTGGAAATACTCACCCGACTTAATGCTTTCAGGGGCGAGGGTGCCTTTACTGATGCCATATTATGTGTGGGGCACGAAGAGTTTCCATGTCACCGAAATGTCTTGGCAGTTAGCAGTCCTTATTTTCGGGCCATGTTTACAAGTGATTTGAAAGAAAGTAGGGAAGCAAGGATTCCATTCAATGATGTTTCACCATGGACTTTGAAGAGGGTCATTGACTATGCTTACAGTGGTCGGTTGGAAATAACAGTAGAAAATGCGGAAGAGATGTTGGCCGCTGGGGGACATTTCCAGTACCCAGACATAGTAGGAGCTTGTTGTGAGTTTTTACAAAAACAGTTACATTATTCTAACTGTTTAGGAATAGAAGCTCTCGCTCTTCTCCATGGAGACGACTGTAAACAGTTACAAGAACAGTCATGCAAGTTTGCTCTTGAAAATTTCAGTGCTGTTGCAGAATGTGATGAATTTTTGGACCAACCTATAGACAGAGTTATCACCTATGTTTCAAGTGATTTGATAGATGTGAGAACAGAGGAAACTGTGCTAGAAGCTGCCTTGAGATGGATCAGATATGATATGGATGAAAGACAAGTTCACCTGCCTCACCTGCTTGAACATTTACGTTTGCCTGTGTTAGATATCTCTACATTACAGTCAATGGAAAAAGATCCCCTCATCAGGGGCAATGAAAAGTGTTTGGAAATGATACACGAGGCCAAGGAACAACACGAATCTATCATCGACCAACATGGGCGCCGTGAGACGCAGCATGCAGAATGCCCAGATCCACCCAAGACCATCAACTGTTGCCAAGGAGGTACTGGTTGTAGTTGGTGGAATCAATAGCTACATTACCAGAAGTGTAGAGATGTATGACTTACAAAAAAACAAATGGATGCCGCTGCCTGATTTTCCTAAAGCAATGTCTTGGTTTAGCGTCGGGGCAGTGAACAACTCAATTATTGTTACAGGTGGGATTCTGGATGGTCACATTGTGCCTCACGTGTGGAAGTTTGATGTTGTCAAAAGAACATGGCATCAAATGGAATCCATGCACAAACCTCGTGCCCACCATGCATCAGCTGTGCTTGACGACTGCCTGTATGTCATTGGAGGTATAACTGATGGCAACAATGTCCCTGTTGATATTATTGAATGCTACGACCCTTACAAAAACTGCTGGACCAAAGTCGGAGAAGCAAACTTTCCAAGACGTGAATCTCAGATCGTGGCTCACAACAACACACTGGTTGAAGTTGGAGGATTGCAAGGAGACGCCAAGGTGAAAACAATGGACAGTTATTTGTGTGCCAAGGGTCTTGTCAAACCTGCTGGGGAGCAGTTTGTTCTACCAGACAGTATCCAGTTTTCCGAAATTGTTTCTTTACATGGAATTTTCTACATCATTTGGGAGGACTCAAAGAAAGTGATCGCCCTAAACCCTCTAAAACGGACATTCCGGCGCCTGCCTGACATGCAGCATTGTCACCTGCACTGTTCTGCTGTTGTGTTAAATGAGAAGATCTATGTGACGGGAGGACAGGTGGATGGAAAGCCCAGTAACGTTGTCGAGTGCTATGATCCTGTCGCTAACAAGTGGACTATAGAAAAATCAATGATCGAGTGCCGTGCTTTTCATGGATGTGTATGCCTACAGATGTGCTAACATTCACACCCGAGAGGATAATGTCATATCTTCTGACTAGGACGAACACGTGTGAAGAGTTTTCTGGGATGATGTTTGTTTACATGTGAGGTGTGATACCTTTGTGTGCTTGTGTGTAATGGTGCTTTCAACCTTGTAAAAAAAATATTGTATAATTTTTTCATTGGTTGTGAATGAGGAGTTGATTTGTTACAGTTATCAGGGTACAGTTCACTACAGCTGCTGAAACTACCGTTAATTACACCGATTTCAATCTATGATTATGATACATGAAAATGGATAGATGAAACTAATGATAGCATGATAGCTAAAAATAAATAATGATTTAACTGTGATCCTGATCATATATGATCTGCCATAGGCATTCACTGATTGGAAGTTTCACTATGAATTTATTGACTCAAAAGAATCGCAATAATATATAAATATTTCAAGTAATAATGCAATTACATTTTAAATTTGGTATTAATATTTATAACTTTCCATTGATACAACCTCAGCATACCAAATCAACGATCTCAAGATCCCTAGTCTGTTGTTTGGTTTTCTATAAGCAATATGTTGAAATATTTTCTTGTACACAGCTGTCAAAACTTCAGAAGACTCTTTGTATTTGTTCCCACTTATTTCAAAGAGATTGTTTCTCCTTCATATGTGTATAAGCTCACTGCAGGGGAACACCCTTGTTAAGTCCCCAAGATAAGCATGATAAGCACAAGTACAATATGTAAAGCCTTAATTTGTTATCTCTGTTTTGAAAACCTTACGTTTCAAAAGAGTTGACATTAAACCCCTCTGATCTGCTGATCTGTTCAAGCTCTGAGTGGCCATTACTGTTGAGTAGAAGTTGACATAACCGGGTGTCTGGTTATAAATTGCTCAGTGTTATTTAATGTACAAGAAAGTTGGCACAACTGTGAAAGAGTACTTCAATATCTTGAATATATATATGACAAGAGTGAAGACTAAAATTTTCAAACTGTTAAATTATAAAATATACATGATTTCCTTCAAGAATGCACTTAGATGGTACAATTATGTAGAAATATAAACATTCCTGTTTCTTAGTAGTAGCATATTAAAGTCAAGTTTCCTTTGTAATCAATTTAGATATCTAAGTACTGATTCTAGGTACTGATTACCAACTATAAGAATTTTATTTTTCCAGTTTGAACAAACCATGTTGTCTTGTACAATAGTCTGTGTCCTAGACCAAAGAGAATACATTAAAACTAGTCTAGCTTATTCTAAAATGATAGGGCAAGTCTTAATTTCCTCAGCTCAAGGAGAATTAAGAAAATGCAAATTCTGGGCCACCCTTGGATTTTTATACATATTTTTTTAGATTTTCAAATTTGATAACTTGATTTCTGGGACTCAATGTCATTCTGCTTGTATACTAGTAAAATGGTGTTGTATAGGTATATATACATGGCCAAAAGTGTTGTAGAAAGACACTTGAAACAGCTTTAATGTTATTGTGATGTATTTTGAAGCAAGGCAAATAAGTTAACTTTGCTCATCAAATGTTTGCAACAGCTGCTTCAAAGTTGTTGTTTGTGTGAGTTATCACTATCAAAATTATGAAAATTATCCTGATTTGTGCTTGATATTTCATAGTCTTGGCTATATGATGATTCTTAAATGCTCTAGAGAATACTATCAAAATAAGGAGAGAACTGGCCATGGCGAGAGATGCAGTAACATTAAGGGAGACTGTAGTGTCGTCAACCGATTTTGATATTGCTGTTGTTAGTTTTGTTGTAGCTTTATTTAGCTTTCAACATGTAAGGGACCAACCATGTATTTTTCTGAAGGGGAAGAAAATACCTTTTTGGTCACTGATTCCAAACTTGCAGATGAGTTAAATAATTACACAGTACATATAACTGATTTATATTTCAAGACATTCACTGATTCAGTCTGGAGCTAACAACAGGCACAAAATTCCTTTTGCCTTATGAGATTGTGAACCTAATTTTTATATGGAATAGGTCCCAGGCCCCTCCCTGGAATAGAAAATAGTATTTCCCAAAGTCTGTACAGGTGGGTAAGTAATGTGCTTGAATCTCTTTTTCAGATCTACTGTATGTACTGAGAGTCTCATTGTAATATTTTGTTTTAATTTTCTGTGTTTTGTATTTTGTACAAAAAATGTAGGATTTCGTTATGAAATGTACAAATCCATGTTTTTGTTTCATTCTCTTTCTTTAAAATCATTGGACATGTTCATTCTTGAATTTACATTAAAGGTTTGTGAGACCTTATCTTTGCTATAGTAGGGGTTTATGTTTGCAAAATACAAACTGGCCGCTGTTACATTGATCAGATTTGAGAAAGATAAAGTTACTTCTAGGTGAGCTTCTGAATTTTAGTTTAACATTGATCATGTTGACATAGATAGGCATTGATTCTCAACAGTTTATGTTGTAGAAATGTTTAAGTAGGGTGAATAGTGTCGGAGATACATTACCTGTTATCAGAAAATATGAAATATGCTGTTATGGTTATTACCCATAAATGAAAAAGTCATATACGGGTCAGTCCTTTTTGGTGTTTCATAAAGGACGGGATCCAAATACCTTGATCTTAGCTTTGTTAATCAGCAAATAATAGATCAAATTATATTAACTGTTAAACTTAATGACACTGGGTCATTTGTCGTATCTGTTGTGTATTTAACATATGATATATTTGGGATTACACTTTCATAGTAAAGTACCGATTCTAGTACTTTTGTTGGGTTGAGTCCATCCAGGATTCGAGCCCAAACCCTCAGATTAAGGCACCTAATCGCCAGCATACAAAGTCATGTTTTTTCTTCAATATTCAATATGACAATGGAAAGTTCAAGAGTTGGTTTTGAATTTCAAGTTCTTATGACGTTATTGTTCAAAGTAGTTGTTGTTGCTGTTGCTGTTATTAAGATGGAAATAGTACATGTATTTGGAAATGTACAGTTTGTTCTTTTACCTCTGTTACCATGGTTTCTCCTGGTACATCCGTCCCTGTATATAGGTCGAACTGTATTGTGGAAATGAAGCGCTATTTCTAACCAAAGTGGAGACTTCAGACCTGTATCATTTGTGCAGTAAGTCCTGTTTCCATGGTTACAAAGCATGCTGATAGGTGTGTCATGGACAAATTCAATTTATTTTGACACAGATGCAGAGATAGTTCTTCCCTCAAAATATTAGTTGCCTTCGCTGAGATTTAATCAAATATAGATGGGTGACATTTGATTGCTGAAATAATAGCCAGGTAGAATGTGTTTTCATTGGTTGAAAATAATACATGACACTCTCTAAACTAAGGAGGAGGGAAAGATTTACTAGAAACTGGCTTGCACAGTTTGAAGTTGCACTAGTCAAAAGTTTGAGTTAGGTCAAATTTTGCTTAGTTTAGTAAACTTAGCTTCAGAATTATGTGTTTCAGGGCTGTCCCTAAACTGGATCTATGAACATTTGATATTTTCTTCTCATTCTCTTTAGAAGCACCTCATGTGAGTTTAGTTTTACGCCTGCACTCAGCAATATTCCAGCTATATGGAGGCGGTCTGTAAATAATCGAGTCTGGACCAGACAATCCAGTGATCAATAGAAACACATGAGCTCCCAGTTAACAGTATTGTCCATCTTATGCCACTAGTATATTTTGTTGGGCTTAGCTGTAGATACTGGCTTGGTCTTCATTTGAAATATGACTCTTATAAATGTACTGTAAATGATTATTTTTAGAAAAATAGAAGTATAAATCAGTAAAACAATCCAAACTCCTTACCCAAATTTCAGATGGGCTGAAATGGGGACTAACATTATTTTTTGTTTTGAAAAGAAATTACATCTTAAAATTATTCTGCCCATCAATATTACAGGCTTAACAAAATCTAATTACTAAGGTTTTAATTATCGCATGAATTTAAAACTCTGCTAAACAAATGGATAGCATTGTAATGACAAACTACACTTTGGGGTGAATGTAAAAGTTGGATTGAATGAATAGTTTCAGTTGATCTGGTGCTTTCAACATGTGTCAACATGTTTAAGTAGTAAAGGTTTGTGCATCTCTATATTTTGTCAAGTTTGATCAGACAAATGCTGAGCTTTGTAAAAGGTTTGAGCTGAATGAAACTTATTAGGAATAAGAGTGACAATTATTGTCTTTGTTCCCAATGAATAGCTGATTTGGATGGTAGGAGACAATTGTGCCACTTCATATCTGAAGTTGACTATGTCTAGCACTGTCAGCAATTACATGTATGCCTGTTTGGGTCAAAGAGCAAAAAAAGTAAATAAGAAATACAGGAGATTTTAGATATATGGGATACATTTAAAAAAAAAAAAATTGTAATCAGTTGAACCTACTCATTGTTCAAACAACCTTCAAATCTACATGTGTATCAAAACCTGAAAAATCAAATGAAACCTCTTAATGCCAGGATATGCATATATTCTTCATAAAAGAAGTAAAAAAAAATCTGATTTTTTTCATTTGACCAAGTGGGATTGTGGGTTAGCCAAGTGGTTAAAGCGTTCGCTCGTCATGCCGAAGAGCTAGGTTCGATTCCCCACATGGGTACAATGTATGAAGCACATATCTGGTGTCCCCTGCCGTGATATTGCTAAAAGTGGCGTAAAACTAAACTCACTCACTCTGTGACCAAGTGATAAATCATGGCCAGTGTGTATACAGTATAGACTGCCAATTAATGTGGGTGTTCTTTAACATATTTTGAGTAGTATACATATTGTGACATTGTATGGAGTTTCTAAACATGATACTAAATTGATACCTTTTAGTGGCAACCCTACATCCTGAAGAGAAAACTATACCACTAAACACTATAAACTTAAGGGGTGAAACAGGTGCTGTTATAAGTGTCTTAACAACCAGTTTCACAGCACAGGTGGGTTAATTCCTTTAACAATCATGCTGCTATTTCAAAACAGAAAAATTAAGATACTTTATTTATGACATCTGACATTTGAGAAATGCCAGTAATGAATTGGGTTTTTTAAATACTATTTTGATATATCATATTTCTTTTGAAGAGTATATTGATTGCAGTTTCAACTCATAATTTACCTGACTTTGATTCAAGAGTGGACATTTGACAGATGCAAGTTTCCTAGGTTACATAGCGATGCTTAAACTTTGCAATCATCTGTCAAGATTGGTTTGGTATGTATTGTATCTTTCGTGTAGTGTGTATGTAAAAAGCATTATATTTTCTTAAATAACATATATGCAGTACTATCCATGGTTTTAGCTATTTATCCTTTCATGACAAAATGCAAATTTAATTAATTCTAAATTTGATCTAGTCAGTAGTTTAAGTTTCAGAAGTGGAGATGAAATATGAAAATGATCAAATTCTTTTGACTTTGTGTGTAGTTTCCTATAAATGGCTGCTGCTTCTAATTTATTCAAAGAATTAGATGCTTCGTGTCCCAAGGATTACCTGTTGCAGCTTTAATAGTGAGTGAGGTGTTAATGATCCTGGAGTATCTTTGTACCACTGACGTGTTGTACAATGGCAAGATATACTAGTTATTTTTCAATGGATTTTGTAATAATGTACATTGCTTGGGTTGTAAAATCTTCAAGATATTATGAAATTAAAAAAATGGAAGTACTTACAACATTTGTTTTTGATCAGTAATTGTTAACTTGCAGAACAGATTTGTTCTCACAGTGTTTGGAGTAGCCATTGAGCTTTATGGCCATTCTCAAATGAACAAGTAACACTGGAAAAATTCTTTCTGACGTTGTTTGTTTAAACCTGATGAAATATTTTGAGGCCTTTTGATGTAGTTATGATAATGCTTGCTATGTGCGATGTGGGGTTAGAATTGGGCCCCACCCACGCTTGTCATAAAGGCACCTGAATGGATCCAGTGGCTGTGCTTAGTGTCGTGGTTGATAACTTGTCACTGAACAGAAGCCTGATGACACGGACGTTGCTTATGTTATCTACGTCTGGTTCGTCTGATCCGGTATTTTTCAGACTGCCACTATGTAGTGGAAGTATAGCTGGAGCTGGTGTCCAACAAACACTCACGAACTAACTCAGGAGATCGGGAACTTGAAAATGAGATTTTCACTGGTCCTATTACAATTCACTGGCATATTCGGTGGATGAACAATATTCATTCATGAATTGAATTCATTATTCGTGGTCACTAGAATCAATATTAATGAATATGCTTAAGAGAGTCTTTTTCTTGCAACCAGTTTGTTGTTTATCTAAGTGAGATCAGGGGTGGATACAGCTTTTAGAGAAAGGGGGTCGGGGCTGCACACTCTTGAGAAAGGGGATGTGCACACTTCATTTTCACGAGAGTTCCAATGGTCATTTAATAAACTTTCAGGACAAAAGAGGGGCGGGCACACACACACACACACACACACACACACACACACACTGGATCCGCCAATGGAGATACCCCAAATAGAGCATATCTAAACAACGCAGTAGCATAACTTGTGTTCCTTTGAATGCATTGTTTGCAAAGTAATAAAAAGCACAAGTGGTGACGTTGGCGTAAACATTGAGGCACACATAGACTCAAGTACATATTGTTCTCTAATGGAGGGACAACGGCATTGTCACAATCGCCCACTGGTTTGCCAGCGTCACTTTGCAGGTGACAAAATATTGGCAAAGAGTTTTTGGCGCACAGTGAATCATGTTGTTCCCATCTTTAGGCTGCATGAAATCTGACGTAAGATAACCATCGCACTACACACGTGTTTTGTGATAAACCCAAGAAGAAAAGAAGACCATCGATCATTTGTAGTTTTTCATGTAGTCAAGGAGTGACAGCACGTAGCATGAACTCACTTCACTAAGTAGAATGTAAGTTGACGTATTTGAAATTTAAGACCGTTCATCTCAGTATGATAAAACTGTTGGAATTAGTTCTTTTAGTAAATACACTTCCCAATAGAGTCTAGGTGAGAATGTCCCCCAAGCATATTGTACGAGGTGATTGCGTGCCATTGTATACCTACGATGTATTGATGATATCAACCACTGGTTTGACCAGTAAAGACTCGCTTATTCTGATGCCGCCGTGACAAAACTGGAATATTCTTGATTGAGAAATACAGTAAACTACGTGCTATGTATGACGAGAAACAAGACCTAGTTTCATGGCGTGGTGGTGGGCACAAGCTTTTAAAGATAAAAGACATAACACCCGTGAAGTTCCTGGTTAGAATTGATCTTCAGTAACCCATGCTTGTCGTAAGAGGCGACTAACGGGATCGGGTGGTCAGGACTTGGTTGACACATGTCATCGTATCCCAATTGTGTAGATCGATGCTGTCGCTGTTGATCACTGGACTATCTGATCCAGGCTCGATTATTTACAGACCGCCGCCATATAGCGGGAATGTTGCGGCGTAAAATTAAACTCACTCACTAATAGGTATGAATTGTCATTCTAGAAAAGCCAACTGCAACTCGCCACGAGCCCAGTAAGCAACATGTCATTCGTCAGTCAGTGTTAAAGGTAAAACGTGGATAATGAAAACTGATATGACAAAGAACAGTTCCTGGAACGTCCAGTAGCACGTGTAAACTGTATACACCTTTTTCTCCGGTACCCGTCTTGACATAAAGATCGTCAAGGAGTAAAAAGTCTGATTTTAATGTTTGTTTGTTTAACGCTGCACTCAGCAATATTCTGACAAGTCAGTTATCAACAGCATGACCATCGATCTACGGAATGTGTCAACCAAGTCAGCGAGCCTGACCACCCGATCCCGTTAGTCGCCTCTAACGACAAGAATGGGTTGCTGAAGACCAATTCTAACCCGAGTCTTCACGGGTGTGGTTTTAATGAGTACAATATTTTATCATAAATTGAAATATAATTTAACATAATAATAACAATTTAATATGGATTCTTATATTGCGCTAAATTCCACACCAAAGTGTGCTCAAAGCGCTAACAGAGTTCATAGATATCACATGTTTACAATCCATTTTTTATTGAACAGGTAGGTCTTAAGATGTTTCTTGAAACAAGTTAGAGTTGGAGTTGATTTCAGATCAAATGTGAGAGTGTTCCATTCAACAGCAGCATTATATGCGAATGATCTTCCGCCAAATGTCTTGAGCCTGATGTTGGGGACCTTTAGTAGCATTTGATCACTGGAACATAGTAGGGACATAGTCTTCTACACATCACACAGATAACCAGGAGCTGTATCATAGAAATCTTAAGAGACTAAATGATGGTTTATCATTTATATTTGTCTTCACGAATGCTGAGACTCTCTTTCTAGATTTAGCCACTTTAAGGATGGCCTTGACCTCCCAAGTTGAGTTGAGACGTTGGACGTAGGCGTGTCATTTATCATGACACAAAGTAGCATATCAACACGCCGCTTGTTGTAATAGGGTCTCATACATATGTATGTGGATATTAAACTGAAATCTGATATGGCAATCTTTGATAAAACATTGGAGCATTGTTATCTCTAAGTAAAGTACACTATCAGAAGTGGTTTGTTATGACCGACAATCGTAATGCATCTACGTAGCCACCAACTGGCTCTCAAATGTTGGTTCAACATGGAAAGTCGTCGAAAGCCATTTCGTTAGACCCGCAGATAGTCAGGTGGAAATATCGTTCATCCAATTATAAGCTTCACGTTTTTGTTCGGAAGGACACTACTGCTGCCTGCTGTGGAAAAATTCCTCAAAATTCCCATTTATTCCAAATCCCTGACGTTATTGTATCCTCCTTACTGAAGTTGTTATGTGCCCTATCCGCTTTATAACGAGGACGATTCATACAAAAATAGCAATTAACCGTGACTCTATCTTGTATCGAGCAAGCAGAGGTTTCTGACACTTTGTAAAGGTAACAATAAAACCAAAGGTGAAGTTAATTGTAAATTATTGAAGTGCGTCCACATCAAACTCGAAAGATCAATACATAAGCAATGCATGAGATCGCGTGCTTTGTTAAACAGTAATGACTGTCAGCGCTGTGCATGCGCAACAATATGAGCCATCATGCAGTACTAATGAGACTGGTCAAAGTTTATATGCAGTGTGTCAAAATCTCTTGTCAATCTCCTCCGCAGTAGCTGGGCACATAATCCTTTCTTCTTGCCCACAGACAGAAATAATACCTCGTGTGGGTCTCAACGCCAAAGCTAATCTTCACAAGGAAATTGCTAACCATTGCCCTTTACGGGAATATAATGCCAGTTAAGCCTTGTAATCCGTAGCCAAGTTCTTTCACGCAAGAATAACCTGTTAGCGCAACGCGAGACTGACTCTCATGAAGGTTGTCATTACTGCAAGGTGGCCGCGCCCGTTGGAACAGAATTGTATGCTTTCTGTTCGCTTCTTGGGTCAAATTAATCTGTGATAGTAAGCATTAGCCAGGCTAAGAATGACCGTCCTTGCCGCGTGCTGTTTGGAACACAGATTATGTCGATCCGCAGGTCAGATGTCGGACGAGAACGAGATTACGCGATATTTTATTCAACGGTTTCGTGCGACAGACCAGCCGAAGGATTCACCGGACACCATGTCTGCTTGTACATGGTTGTTTTACAACTCCATAGCGTGACATTTCTAGACATATTTATTTAATTAAGGGCTGATTCTTTGTGTTGGGTAATACGTTTTGTACTCTGTTCGGTGTGAAGGTCAGATCGAATGGATTTGCGTTTCACGTCCGAACATGATTCAGATTTCCTTTCAAAACGCTAAGATCAAACGGCGACCTTCGATAAGCCATGTTTAGACTACGGGTTCAGTAGTGCAAAGTACAGGTGATAACACAATACGCGTGGATTATATAACCATTAAGTCTGATGTTATGACATTAATGGTCAGAATATCATTCAATTTATTGAACACTAATGATTGTATAATCTAGCTTAAACGACGTAATACTTAAACGCGTTGCTTGGGATATATAAATTACGTCGGGTATTATAGTATCCGCTTTGGAGTATTTGTCTATGGAATCTCAGCGTGATACACTGTTTACATGGACCGTGTACCATTAAGCATTACGTCCCAACCACATTAGACGGTTGAATGACAATGGTCTGATGTCAGTTGAAGAACAGTTGCGGATCTGGTTCTCGGGGACGAGTGAGTGAGTTTCGTTAATTATGCCGCTTTTAGCAATATCACGGCGGGGGACACCAGAATGGGCTTCACATATTGTACCCATGTGGGGAATCGACCCCGGGTCGTCGGCGAGAGGTGGAACACTTTAACTACTGGGCTACCCCACCGCCTCTGTTTGGGGACGACGAGCCATGCCATGTCAACCACGCGCACTCACGCACAAACACAAATCGATAAAAAGGAACATGCACATACACACGCAAGCGTTTATGCCTTTGTCTGGTTATCAGATGAGGTACATCCCCAGTTGGTTCCGCCCGTGAACAACACGTAACAAAGAAATAGCAATAAACTTGTATATTTCACAATACAGTGCATGTCCCAGTAGTTTTAAGCGCTCTTTGGCATGGCAGGATCCGCTGAGACATGTGATGCCAGGTTTCACTCAAGTGGTAAACTTCACCAAACTGTCATGAATGAATCAGTTTAAAGCGGGCTAAAATAATTTACTCAAATGCAACTGGTAGATAA